ATTCCTATATAAGATCCTACAGGATCCTATAGAATCTTACAGAAACTTACAGGATCCTGTCAAGGATTTCCACCAGGGTAACGRAACCATCAAGTACTTCTAGTTTATTTGTATTTATGCACTAGAATCTGTTGTCAAATCGAATAGCAGCCATTCATTTTGAATGGAAAAGCAATATAATATGCTCTTTCTCAGGATTTTACCAGAAGGAATTAWTACAATTAGGTCAAATCTACCCTTCACAGAAAAGACAAAAATCCATACATTAATTAATGCAACACTTTTTCAAAGACATTWTTTCTGTTACTTGCCTGTGTCTTGCCAGAACCAGCAGAGCCCACTATTTCTGTGACTTCGCCTGAGTACAAGCCACCATCTAATAATTCATCCCAGCTGAATATTATTAGTAATATTAATTTTCAGAATACTTCACAATATTTTTATAAGTTTTAGGTGATATTGTTCAATTTTTTTTACTATGGAATGTAGAAATTAAAATGCTATTTAAAAATAGCATTTTAATTTCTACATTCCAACTACTAAGGGTACCCCTATAGACACATTTTTCTGAGCCTGCACCAGCGGTTATTCGCCAAAAAAGGGGTGGTGAATTTWTAATTTTCGTATAAATTAGTATAAATTAAAAAAAATCCGAAGGATTTTTTTCCCGAGTTTAAGTTGAAAAGTGAAAACTAAATTTCATGGTTTCCTCCAAATATTTTTTGTAGAAAAAGTTACGCTCGAGACAGGATGATAACGTGTTTTAATGGTACAAAACAAATKTCAGATACAGATGTAAGAAGTCTTGGTTAATTCCTTTGAATATAGTTCAAAGTCCCCCTTTTTTAGGCATTAGGCAAGACCATGAAATCACCTAGAAGGTTTGCAAAGCTCTCTTTGGTGACTTTCTCTTTTCTGGAGTCGGGATAGCTCTCGATCATTTCTTCGCACAAAGTTCTGTCGCTTTCTGTGAGATTGTTAAATTGTTGATACGTTTCCCAAACGCGAGGGCTTGTTTCTTCTTTCAGTCTTTCAGTCAGCAATATTAGAGTTTATGAAAAACGTCTTGTTAATCCTGTCAGTCCTGAGTGGTATAAAGGAGAAGGCATTGACGAAATGCTGTCATTTCTACTCAAAGCTTCGAGGAATTACTAAAAACATGGTTAGGAGATACTGCCGAGATTGTCCAATAGAGGGTTGTGGTGCTAGATACCTTGTGAAGCTATCAAATCATCTACATGATGTTCATGGTTTAAACTCTGCCGAGAGACGAAAATATCTTCAAGAATCAAAGCTTCAACCAAGAGTAAAAGTTGTCATTTATCATGATAATAGAGGAAATCAAAAGCAGAACACTCATGACTGCAACTGCGGGAAGGTTTCTGACGTTCAATCACTTCAAAATGATTTACCCAGTTGGAGTAATACTTCTCCAAGCCTTGTGTATCAATACTCTATTCCAAGGAACCAGTTCAAAGCAAAAAGTCAAGCGAGAAAGCGCAAGAAATCTGAACAGAATATAAATATGCAAGAAAGAAATGGCTCAAAAGGTCTACAAACTCAAGATGTCTAAGCGATGTAACGTATAGCTCCCAATTCCTATCAGATTATTTCATGAACTCGTGACACTTATAAGTACATTTTAAAGGATGCATGGAAGTTTCAACAGCTTTGGATATAGATATAGAATCTTCCACCGACATATAACGCGCTTTAGAGAATGCAAAAAAAAAGTTGAACGATGTTTCATGATTTAGAAGCATAAATGTAAATGTACTCCTGTTCCAATGATAACTAATTCTAACTTAACGAATTATACTTGCTTTAGGAATTCGCTATGTTTTTCTTTCGATTCCAAGGCTTTTTTTAAAATATTTGTTTGGATTTTCGAAGTAATCATATCATTCTGTACTAGATTTAAGACATTTCCTTGCCGAGTTTGTAGAAGAAATAAACTGTCTTCAAGTCGCGAACGAAATAGATTTTGTGTTTATAAAAAAAAA